GTCCACTCGGTCTGAATTTACAAAGTCGCTATCATGACAGGAATAGCACAAATTCTTAGCGTCTACTAGCGTTTCATACAATGACTGGTGTGGCTAAATTACTATGGCCTCTAGAGTCAAGTCGATTGGGCTTATTCATACCATCTAGTGGCATTCGACATAGAAATGTAGCATTCTAGTCTCAACTTCACCTGCAAGAGCCTCCCGACAAATCACGTCACCGCAATTATGAGTGCTGAAGATTACGGGGCACCAACCACCACAACTTAAACTAGTATTTCACTTGCTACGCCTAACTCCAGTCACAATTCGACTTCAGAAAATGCGAGAAAAATGATTTTGCAGTAATCCCAGCAACGTTCATACTAGGCCAGCTCAATATAGCGGTAAAAGGGAAATGAATAATGTAAAACATCACATTGGTTCACGCGTTCTTAACGAGTGGCAATAGGGCCAATTAGGAGATAGTCCATTCGAATTGTGTTCCACCAAGAACATGAACATGCAGGTGGTAGATAGATTGACAGCCTTCAGGACCGTTGTTGATTACAACTCGGTAGCCTCTTGTTAACTTCTTGATTGCAGCAACCTTTTTCGCCACCAGAAGTAAGTGGCCAAGAACCTATAAATTAACCGGCCTACAGATAACAGAACATACTTTCTTATCTTTTTCAGCGGCTTTAGAAAGTTTTGCAATTGGTTTCTTCGGGACAACTAAAAAGTGGGTCGGTGCCTGGGGCGAGTCATCGTCGAAGGCGACACAGAGATCATCTTCATAAAGGAGCTCAGCAGGTATTTCTTTTCGAATGATCTTTCCGAAGACCGTATCACCTTCACAAGGAGAAGCTCCTTGAGCCTTTTTCACTTTGGAAGCCACTTTGCAAGGATAAAAGCGATACTAGACCGGCAATTGAACTGACGGCACGAACAGCCGATGCATGAACTTCAAGGTCATACAAAATTATTTTCAACTTCTAATTGTTTGGTTCGAAAAAATTTTCCCAGGTGTTTGCAACATTTAAATACTCATAAATCATCGTTTCTATTATTATAAGAATTAAAACTGCTAGTTGTGAGCAGCACAATCGGCATCACCATTGATACTAAATGATCATTTCGTCCTTCGTCAATCAGCCACAAAGCTGTAAATAGCAATTAAATGCAATTTGTACGTGTTTTCATGATTGTGTATTTTTTTCTGCTTGGTTAAAGGCTTACTAACCTTAACGTGACAGTTGTTTACTGCAACTGTTTATAAGAACCACAAATCTGTTTTCCCGTTGGCAACAAAACCTCACCTATTTTATTTCCAAATTCTATCCGTTTGTTCGGTTAGCCAATTCAACGTTATGTAACTCCCTAATGCCGCAGCAATGGAATTGGTTTATGTCGTCTAATCAATCGAATGTAACAATAAAATTCTACTAGCGCAGTAAATAGTTAAATTGCTTACGGACGCACAATGTGATATGCATTTGAGTGACGCTAATGCACGGAAATGGTCCCACGTGGATATGCCTGTGTACCGCAGTGTGATTTTACGACGGTGTCGAGGCTGTCGAAAAACGTTTGCGTCGGTCGCTTTGTGCACGATGGGTCAAAAGGTGAAGTTCTAATTGCACCAGGCTTAATCTCCAGCATTTGTCCACCGCTTTACCTAGTAGGTAAAGAAGCGTGCAGAAGGTGGAGTTTGTGTCCAGAAAATGCGCATTGTGTTAAGAATGAGTCTAGTTGTGGTAGTGTTACATCTGTCTTGTGTGTTCTTTGGGCATGCTCGTAACCGCTACGAGACTTGCAACATCAGAATCCTCAAATAGGTCTTGCATAGTAGGCATTTGTTTAGTTTGACCAAGGCCGTTAAGGCATTCATAATTGAGACTCCATAGTCCAAAATTACTCGTCAGGGAGTGGATGGGTAACCTATCACAGGGTTTGGCTGCCGCCGCAAAGCGCGTTTTTGAAACTGACCAGGTACTAACATACTTGCAGTAAGTGCGTTATATTAAGTCTACGCCTGCATGATGGAATTACGGCTAGGGACAAGGATGATTGGATTCAAGAAGAATTCAATTGATTTGACTCTGCACAGCGTCCTGCCACTGTTTTTTTAAGTGCTATGTTTGTTATAGAAGAAAATAGCAGCTCCAAGTTAGGCAAATTGAAGGTTTGCAAAATCAAAGGCTTACACATCAACT